TTTAAATATGTATTTGCCTCTCTTGATGTTGTAGTAGTAACAATTTACCATGAAATCCTGAGTGTATCAGGAGTGGTCAGAAATGGTATGTATTTTCTTTCTTAAGGTACCACTCCTTACTCTGAGGCTGGCTGCAGCCAGAGTCACTTGTCCTAATGTTTTACTTTATTTTGGAAAAACTAAGAGCCTGGTGTGCAAAGAGCAGCAGTGTGTTCTTTCTGCAGATACAGATGTGCATTTTCCTTGTCTGTCATAGTGTCTGATTTATGGTAAATCTGAAAATAACAAACCTCACTTAATTGCCAACCCGACGAGGTCACTGAGAGAGTTTGCTGTGTTCCCCTCTGTCCTTGGGCTGGCTTAGGCAGCAATGGACACTATAGCTTCTTTTTTTCGTGTGTTTTTTCTTGCTTGCTTTCTTTTCTGTTTTCCCTCAGTTTGTTGTCTTCTAAAATCATGTCTGATAAAGACTCCTCTCAGCTAGTATGTAAAGGCCTTAGCACTTTAAGAGTGGATTAAAACCCCCAAATTAAAGATAAAACACAGATGTGCTAACTGAATAGCCAAGAATAAGTCCCTCAAAAGTTAATGCCAAATGTGGGGACGCTGAACTTCTTGGATATAGACCATATACAGCTCTCCTTTGGCAGGCCACTATATTAGTCCTTCAGAAGGTTGTTTGTGGGTGGTGAATATCGATGTGAGATTCCTCTGGGTTTGTATTTAAGTGCGGTATAGTGAGATCGGAGAACTTGGCACGGGGGGTAGAAGAGCGAGCGGTGCTCTGGGGTCTGCAGCAGTCAGCGCCCCGTCCCATAGAGCAAGGGGAAAGAAGCCTGGGAACTCAACAGGTTGCCCACAAACGACGTTCCTTGCTGACCTCTGTCAGTTGGTGGTCAGCTTGTACCCTAAAATATGAGGTTTTGTTTAATTCCTTACTGTTAAAGTGTTATAAATTGTCATTTTGAATGTTTTTTGTTTTATTTATAAATACCTAGTGTACCAGTGATGATTGTCTATGTGAGTTTCTGCAGAGATTTTTTTTCCTGATCGAGTGTCTTGTTTTCTGGGTTTAAGCAAGTGTCTCTGTTTTAATGTAAAATTAGTATTATTTGAGTAGTCTGAATATGCATAGATATAGCTCTTTCACTTTTAAAGCATCTCTTACTGATAGTGAAACTACAATGCAGTACGAAAACATATTGCCTATGCTAAAATAGAAAGTCTTATTAAGAACAAAACTCAGGATTGTCTGTTTTTAAAACTATTG